GGAACTCTGGGTTCAGTCCTGCAAAGCCTCGGAGCATCGGATCGCAACCAACAAGAGCCCAGCTCCTCACTCGTGCTCAATCTAACTGGCCATTAGATTGACTTGAGCTACAACAGACTGGTAACTATAACCATCAACTGCCAGGACTCTGTGTGTTTGTGTGTGTATGTGTGTGTGTAACTAAAAAGCACATGCTAACTGTTGTATTTTCAATAAATGCACCATATTTGCCTTCTCCTATAAAAGATCCCGTGTGCTTTGTATAGCATAACAGCAGGATCAGGGCCCAAGATGCAATGCTGGATTAGCTCTTTGGGAGCATTGTGTAATTTAGCGTACATCTCACCTTTTCTCAACCAGGCCCTGTTCATTCCCTCTTTGATGCCTGGCTCTTGGATCTTGAGTTCTTCTAGCTGTCTCACTATGTAGAAATTTCAGGACTAGGCCGTTCTCATGGTTTTTCTGTATGTGACTTTGACGCTGTTAGAAAAAAATTGGATATGGTAAGGTTTCTAACAATCCTTTTTATTTTCAACCATATGCTGGTATGTGACTCATTGTGAGTTCATGGAGCTCAGTGGAAATGCTTAAGTGTGTCAGGCCCTATAGGCAACTATTGTCTTGCTTTTTTTTAGCAAGGGAGGGAAGCAAATGGGTGTCTGCTATTATGTGGCAGAAGTAGCCCAGGTAAATTCCTGTTATTAAATTTCTTTATTTAAGCATTAGCACTCAATAGCCAATAAAATGTATTTCCTTGCACCATAGCAAGGCTCAGCCCTTATTTTAACCCAATGTAGATTTTATAATATAATATTCTAAAGTCAATGTGATGGGGTTACAATATGGAGTTACTGAGCTAATGTGGATGCAATCAGCCCTGCCTCCCTACACCTTTAAGAGATGTCAGACTTGGAGGGAAAAGCTTAAAAGGGGAGAACATAATACAGTTGCCTTGACCAGAGGAGATTTTTACTGAAGGTAAGTGCTTCTTGGGTGACTGTTGTATTTTGGCCCCTCCTGGAAATGTGGGTGGGTGGGCAGGCTGGTGGGCCTAGTGTTGAACCACTATTGTAAGATTATTATTCTATATGAACTGTGAGCCTAGTTGGGGCCACAACTTACTAGAAGCCCTCTGAAGAATGACAAAGAGTCCTGTGGCACCTTATAGACTAACAGACATAGTGGAGCATAAACTTTCATGGGTGAATACCCACTTCATCAGACGCATGAAGTGGAAATTTCCAGAGGCAGGTATAAATATGCAGGCAAGAATCAGTCTAGAGATAACGAGGTTAGTTCAATCCCTGGGAGAGGAACATGGTAACATCACTCAAAATTACATCTGTAGAGATGATGGTTATAGCTCTGAATTCTTGCACAAATCTGTTCTGGAATCTTATGTGTGTAGTCTCCTTAGTGCACACAACTTCCATTAATACTAATATTATCAGTGTGCCTCCTTGATGGATTTATAGATATCGTATAAAGAAAAGGGGAAAATGCATCCTTTAGATTGTAAATCTCTCCATGGTAGGAATTGTATCTTCTATATTTGTACAGTGCCCAGCACAATGCTGCTGACATCCCATCTAGGACCTTTAGGCATATACCATAATATAGATTTCTAATAAATAGAATAACAAAGTAATAAATCAGTTGAAAAACTTAAGACAATGCACTAGTAATTAATTAAATGACTCATGCCACACAGTTCTAATGTAGCAGGATCAAGTGAGGGAGACTGACTTCCTTCTACACTGAAACAAGGGAGAGGCTGAAAGTAGCGCACACTACTAGAAACACACAATCTGAGATCCCTGCAGGTACTATGTTTCTCTCTGGCAACAGTAGAATACCAGGAAAGGCTCTAACAGCCTGCATCTCTCTCCAGCAATAGCAGTTGCCTTGGGGGGGCTGCTGATGGATTGGGCTCTATCTTTTGGCAGAAGAAATTATGCAGGGAGATGCAGTTGGCAGTCCACTCATTTCCCCCTCCCCACTGCCCACCCTTGTCAGACATATCACATGCTTCAAGAGTGACTTTTGTATCTATTGCCAGAGAACAACTTTCTTTTCTTATTTAGGAGACAGCAGGCCAGATTCTTATGTGATTTACACCTACGTGAATCTAGATTAATTCCAGTAGAATTATTCTAATTACACTGGTGTAACTGCAGTCAGAATCTGTCCCAAGATTTCTTTGGCCAGATCCTCAGTTGGTGTAAATCAGTATAACTCCATTGGAGTTAGCTCAGTTTACACTGCTGAGGATCTGTCCCCTTGTTTTTAACTCAGCTGATATTAACAGTATTTAGTAGGACTTATACCAAGGTTTTTACTGCATTTTTTGTTTCAACATGATTAATTCTACAATGATTAATTTAAATAACTGAATTTTCTCTTGAGAAAAAGAATACTTTTTTTGAGATTATATAAAAAGACATGGTTGGAGGAAGAAATCTTCAGATGAGTGACTGTATATGTTCTGTAGTGTGAACATAACAAAGACTCCACCATGCTATCTCATAACAGAACCAAAACTTAATGTCAGACTAGTTTTGAAATGAAATCCAAGGAAATCTTTTAGAGAATTATTAAAAGATGCGGTCATAACATTGTATTGGGAAATAACGTTTAGTACAAAGTACAAGTATGTAGCCATTTTTTTCATAGTGCTTTTAAAAAACAGTTTCATACAGTAATTATGTTAGACTTCGTTTGCACACATTCCAACAGTGCAGAAGATATCCAGGTATAATGTGTGATCATTTATGTTGTTTAAGGTAAATATTAACAAATCCATGTGCTGAGAGGTTAATTTTTATTGTATCATGCTGTGAAAATAACTTAAATAAGAAACTGAAAGTCACTTAGCACTTAAACTGTATACTGCTAATTAGGTGAGGGCCTGGTACTGCAAACACCTATGCATTGGGGCCTTAATTAAGTACTTGTATTTTTAGATAGATTTTTTTGGTCAACATTCTGGTAAAATAATAAATTTAAAATAATAGGAAGTACAATGTAATACTGTACAATTTATCAACATAAAAGTTCTTTTGGGTTAGTTATTCTGGGGCTTTATTATGATCTTTTGAAATTACATACAAATGTTAAAAAATATTAAATTAATGCCGGTGAAATGTCCCAGATTAACATCTATGGGACCATTTAAACTGTCATCAGCTCAGTAAAGCAGGCTAGGAAATCAAAAACTGCACACAGTGGCTAACCCCTGATCCCCCAATTTTGAAACTTTAATGGCTTCAAAATTGGGGGTGAGGGGAAGAGGGGGGGGGGGAGAAGAGAGAGAAGGACCAGAGCCTACAATTAGGTCCAAGTTTAAAACAGTCATTAAATCTGCCAAGGGTTAGCCTGACAGTCTAGAAACAGCATGCAGCCAAGAAGGGAATCAAAGTTTGAGATTAGAAGTATTTTTGTTTAGTTTATTTTTTTAAATGCTAAAGCCATTACAGCTGGATTAGAGATAGCATGTTTTTAAGAAAATCAATAGACTCTTTACACAGTTAATGCACATAGATGGTCATTTTACCAATTATTATGACAGCAAGCACCTGTGACAAGTTAGTCTGGCCCTTCCTGTAATACAAGAGTCTGGCAATATTTGCCTGATGAATATTCTGGGAAAAATAATGACAGTGATACTTCTTCTGTAGGAACTTTCTCCTTTGCAACTGCTTTGTCAACAGCCACTACATGTTGCCTCAAATTTGTCCTCTTCTTGTGAAATTGCTGCATGTTACCATTTTACAGGTGCTGTGCGAATCTTATGGTATTTATCAAACCTTATGAAAACACTATTTTCCTCCATTGAGTAGAATAGAGTGATTACAAGGACTCCCACAGCTCTGTTCACCATTGCATTACTGACCATTGGCATTTAGGCTCAGTTAGGCCTTGATTCAGCAAAGCACTGAAGTACATGCTTTCCTTTAAGCAGTTAAGTAGATCCCAGTTCAGCAAAACACAAACATGTGAGCTACACCATCACTATTGGGGAAAAGCACTGAAAGACATGTTTAACTCATATTGAAATCAATGGGGCTACTTACATGCTTAAGGGTACGTCTACACTCCCCACCGGATTGGCAGGTAGCGATCGATCTATCGGGGATCAATTTATTGCGTGTAGTGTAGATGCGATAAATCGATCCCTGATCACTCTCCCATCGACTGCTGAACTCCAGCTCAGCGAGAGGCGGAAGCAAAGTCGACAGGGGAGCCGCGGGAATTGACCCCGCGCCATGAGGATGTGAGGTAAGTCGAACTAAGATACTTCGACTACAGCTATGCTATTCTCGTAGCTGAAGTTGCGTATCTTAGGTCGATTCCCCCGTGCGCCCCCCGCCCCCAGCAAAGGCCAGGCCTTAATGTGTTTTGCTTAATCAGGGCATTAGTTTGTTGCTCTTTTCATGGGAAATCTAGTGTGATCTTATGGCAATTCCCACGATCACTGTGTACCACAACAACATATGTTAGAATAAGCAGGGGAGATAAATAAGACATTGAGATCTTGACATTTACTAGCAGGGGCAGATTTTACTACTTTTGGAAATTCATAAAGACCTCCTGGCAATTTCAAATTGTTTATAACAGGTGAGGATCGCCTGTTATAAGCATTCTAGGCATCATTCTTCTCTTGCTTTTGTGTGTGACTCCTTTACGTCAGGGGTGTAAACACAGCTGTAATCAATGGAGTTACACCACTGTAACGCTGATGTAAATGAGAGGAGTATCAGGTCCTGCTTGTGCAGCTTTTCCCAAGGTAGACCCTGACCCCATCGAAGAGTGAATCCAACAGTTGCACATTATGTGCATATTATAGGAATTAGGCAGCAAGCCAAAAAGACATAAATCTGAGTGGTCAGCAATGCAGTATGGGGCATGTAGCTGCTGAATTTCTAGCATGCCCTTCAGGCACTGCGTGTTATTCCACTGCACTATGATGACAGATGATAATTTAGAAAAGGACAAAATCACAAATATACATGTACATATACAAATGCAGTTTGCATCCCAACTGCATTTGTCAAGAAAAATGATGGTCAAAAGTCAGTGAAGATACAAAACATGGAGTGAAATTGTGGAGGGTAAATATACTATCTTGAAACAACTCATCAACATTATCACACTAAAATTGACTACTCTCCCAAATAATTCCTTAATCCTCCTACAGCCACCCCTCCAGACACACATTCAGGCAGAAGCCTAGACTGAATAAGATGAACCTCATACCATGCTCTGAAGATCACATAGGGATGGTAGACCTATGAGAGAAGCCTGAAACAGTCAGGTTCCCTTTGTTATGAATGCCCTACCTCCAATACCCAGATACTGAAATCTAGGAACTATGGTCCAGATCATTAAAGGTATTTAGATGCCTAACTCCTATTGAAATCAATGGGAGTTAGGCACCTTTGAGGATCTAGGTATATTAGCAGAGATTCCGTAGGGTGCTT